ATCAAGGTCCAGAGGTCAAGATTCAGCCTGAGAAGACCAAATGCAGGTCTTTCATCCTGAAGATGAAAACTAACTGGAAAGTCCATACAGTCAAGGGAAAAGAAACTCAGTCTTCAGGGCCAAAGGCAGGCTGGTGGGAAGGTGCCAACCAGCAAGGCCACAGGTTTCCCCTCCCTCACCTAGAACCCAGATTAAAACCCCTCTCTTTTTCCCTTCAGGGAGGTAAACCTGGGTTTTTACTCTCATCTCCTCGTCTGGCTACCTCTCAATACTAAACCTCTTCATTGCCATAAGCCTGCCGTTCCACTTATTGGTCTTCATGTGGCTGATAAATGAACCTGAGTTTGTGCTCAGCAACACACCCAGTATGGGTCTTCAGAAAGGGAGGAAGATAGGTGACAAAGAGGAGAGCATGGAAAGGGCAGGAATTGAGGGTCACTTGTGCAAGCTTGTTTCCAGTCCTACTCTACGCAGCCCCCACTACCTGGAGTAGAGGTCAAAAATGTAAAGACATACCTAGCCTTCAGTTGCTGGGGATCTGGCACTTGGTGGGGACCAGAGCCGCAGGTGAGGAGTCACTGACCCTGTGCTCCTCAGAAAAGGCCAGGAGAGCAAAGAGAAGAAGGAGTCAGAGAAGCTCCATTGGGGCACAACCGTGGACTCTCATGGCATGGCTGCCAGGCCCTGCACAGCTCCATCAGACTCGACCTTCCTCCCTCCCCAGGGAAAGAAGCCGAGAAGGAGGAGGATGGGGCTCTGTGGAAGGAAGAGGGTGAAGACTTGGACGCATTTGCATTGGGCTTCTGTTTCAAGGCCATTGTTGTTCCACTGTGTCTAAGTTGGCACCCTTGAGTCAGACTCCACATTTGGGGCCTGGGCCCCACCTGAGTGCAGCCCTGCCCCCGACATAGAGCCCAGCGTGGAGGGCCACGGGTTTGTAACCTGAAAGTTCTCTGAAACTCCAGAGATGGCTCCGGGGAGTGAGTCCAAAACTCCTGAACACATGCCCTCAAGACTCTAAAGTGATCAGCCATCCTTTACTCAATTTCAGTTTGTGTGGTGTGTCTGGTTGTATGTGTATAAACAGAATTATGAAAATCTGGAGACTTCAGATCCAGCATGATGCTCTTGCTTTGCATTGGTGTGGGGGATCCGGACTGACCTTGAGTGGACTGACAGCAGAGCTTTGAAGGACTTGCAGATCCTTGAGGCCCTACTCCATCTTCTCTGTGTCTTCAGCAGTCCCTTGTCTGACACCAAGCACTAAACATGTATTTCAGAATAAAAGGCTCTGCTACCTCTAACCCCGCTTTGTGTTTTCATGAAGAATGCAGACATTGTTCTACACTAGGTTCCCTAAAGGCTCCCTGTCCTCGACTTTCAAATACCAGAGGGAAACTAAGACACCTGGCAAGGTACCTGCCAACTCCAATTGGTACTCAGCACAGGAATCTCTATCACTTTCTGCAAATGCCTTCTCTGTGGAGTCCCTTCTCAGAACATCATCAGAACAGTGGAGACGGAGAGAGGCGGGCCCTCAGGAAGCACTTGGCAATTAAGGGAATTGTGCCCAGCACACCAGTAGGGACTCAACAAAGCTTGGTAGAAAGTGAAAGACTGGGGTCCAGAAGGGACTCATCCTCTCCTCCACTGGAGAGTGTGGGAGGGGATGCAGGCTGGGAAACCTAAGGATGGCAGAGGAGGAAAGGGGGCGATGTTAAGGTCAGATAGGGACAGATAGGCAGAGAGGGAGAGAGGTTGCTGCTGAGGAGAGAGGCTTGACGTCCCCAGGGAAGAGTCTGGGCCCTGCCAGTCACTTAGCCACCTCTCCTTCTTTGTCCATCCTTGTGTCTAACCCTGTGATCCCACATACCTGATAAATACAGGAAAGGAAGCATTAGCCCCTCCCTTCTGGGGAAGGAAGGGAGTGACCTGACTTCTCCGTCCAATGCCTCCTCAGGTCATGTCACTCATCCTTTGACCCCTGTGACATCACGTGACTCTTCTTCTCATAGACACAGACCCCACCACTCCCCACGTTCATGGTTACAACCCATAGGCCTCATTAAAATTTTCAACATTTATTTTAAGGCAAAAATAAGGAATTGAAACCATTGACTCATACAAATCAAACAGTGACTTCTGTGTCCTCTGTCAGGAACCCTATTGAGCACACCACCTTGCAGCGAGGTCTGCTGACTTGGACCTGAGGCTGATGGGTCAGGCTGTTGGTCACCCTCCACACCTCCACCTCTGTCCACAGATGTCTTCAGTGGAGAGGGGTCTTCTCCTTCTCCAGGCCTTTCCATCCTGTGGGAGGGGAGACTGGCCAGGGCCAAGGTACAACTGAGGAGGAGGACAGAGGCAGAGCAGGCTCAGCTGGGGCTGAGTCCAGCTGCTCACACCCTCCCAAAAGTGTGGATTCCTCGGGGTGGCAGAAGGGCCACGAGACTCTGAGCCTTGAGACGTCACTCAAGGATCAGGGCACGGATGTGAGCCAAGAGGCCCTGTTCCTCAGCTGCAAAACTGGGTTCTTTCCTCCAATTATCCCCAGAATCCTGAGTAATGTCCAGGGAGAAGCCCTGGGAGGAGGCCTACTCTATTTCCCTCCCCCGATGCATCCCTCCCTCACACAGTACCCAACTCCACCCTACCGTGCACCCCAGGCTTGGGCTACAGGCCCTTGGCGGGCCTTGGGAAGCTCCAGTAGCAGATGGCATCCACCAGGATGGAGGGCATGTAGCTCATGGGGAGGTAGATGAACTTGGCATCCCAGCCAGGTGAGTATCGGGTCCGGGGGTGGCAGGTGGTCAGGGCATGTTCCATGCAGTCTGTCACCAAGCACAAATTGTGACCCCACCTCGGCTCGAACATTACCGCTAACTTCACGACTGTCAAGAAGGAGACACCATCCAATTATATTCTCACTTCACTACTGCCCCACTTTCAGATCAGCTCTAGAGAAAAGTTTCTAAAAACGCTTGGGGCCCATAAAATCATGCCCCAAATGGAATCCGTGGATGGCCTGGCAGCGTGTACCAACTCTTACCCCAAGAACACTCTCCGCACTAAGCCCATCTGATTCTACTCCTGGAAATACAGTGCTGCACTGCCAAAGGATGTTCTGGTCAAACCACAAACTGCATAAAACAGGTCCTGACCGCCTGCCACCCCTGCACCCCATACAATGGTCCCATACGATTAGGACCATACAGCCTAGGTGTATAGTAGGCCCTACCATCTGGGTTTGTGTAACTATACTCTATGATCTTCGCACAATAACAAAATGGCCTAATGATGCACTTCTCAGAACCTGTCTCCACCGTTAAGCAACTCGTGGCTGTATGTGCACTGCATAAACTGGAGGTCTTCACAAACACTGCAAACCTAGGACCTGAAAACCAGCAGCTCTAAAGACAGTTTGCCATGGATCAAGGGGTATCTTCCCTCTGTGGCTTCAGTTTCCTCCTCAAGATAATGAGAGGTTTGGATGAAACAGTAGCCCCCAGGCCTAACAAACCTGGATCATTTCCTTTGGCTACCAGAGAGGACCACACAGGACAACGGGATGGAGCTAAACGTCCCCGCTGCGTGCGTGATTCAGAGCCTGGAGCATGAGCCTGAGACCTGAGGAGGCACTAACGATGCATCCAGGCTTCCAGACAATGGTTTGCTTCTCTCCCCATGGTCCACAGCTCACTCACGGGATGCCAGGCTCTTCTCCCCGTAGATCTCCTTGATCTCTGGATGGGCCCGCTCCCAGGCCTCGTGGTAGCCCTGAGAAAAATTCTCATGCCTGGTCATGTTGGTCTTGAAGTAACCAGGCTCGATAATAGCCACCTTCACCCCAAAGTAGGAGAGCTCCCTCCTGCAAGGCAGACAGGAAGAGGGGCAAGGACTTCAGAGGCCTTGGGAGACAAAACACGGCAAACAAAAAGCAAACAGAATGATGCAACCTCAACACAGGATTTGAATGGCATACACCCAAATGCTTGAGAAGTTTCAAGTGCAGTAGCAAGGGAGAGAAAAATGATGATGATGGCGTATCTCTCTAGAAGGTTGGTACATTTTTCCACATATTTGACACGCATCTGCTTATTAGCTCTAAATCTTCACCCCTATTCTACTTCAAGGCACCCCTTAACTGCTCTCTCCTCCTGTGTCCTCTCACATCCAATCTATCTCCAGACTTTGCCCATCCAACTTCCTCCACTCTCCTCAATCCTCTCTCTCCCCTCGCCTGCTCTAGTCAACTGCCTGGCCATCTGTGCCCTAAGGAGCCTCTCTCTGCCTATCGTCTCAACTCCCCTTCTTTCAGAGCCATCCTCTGCCCTGAAGCCAGTCGGTTCTGTAGACGCTGATTTGACAAAGTAGCTCCCCTGATTAAATCCCTTCCATGGGGACAGCATCCCTCCTGTCAGCAAGGGCCTTGTCCTTTACCCCTGGATGGCACTGCAGCATAGGCGCTCAACCATTACTCACCCTGGGCTTGCCTGACTTCATTCCTTCATCCAGGGAGCCTTCACACCCTATTTCTCAGGTGGCCAGGTGACCGAGTTCAGTTCTTCATCCTCAGCTCAGATCCCTATCCAGTTCCCTGCCATTATACCTATGGGACCAGGGCCACCATGGCTAATTTCGTGCAAGTGTCAGATGAAATGGCCACAACATTTCTATATTACTTGTCCCTTTCTCAGTTGTCACACTGTTTAGTCAGGGACCAAATCTTGATGTCCTCAGACACGTTGATTGTGCACTCACAAAGGTACCAAGAAGTATCTGTTGAATTGACTCTAAGACTCTACCTCCACCTCAAGGGCTCCCTGAACTGAATGTCGTAGGGGTTTTAGACATGTTCTCTGCAGCCACCTTATCCCAGTTCCACTTCTGCCTCAGATACCTTCTGACTATGGGCCCTCCTCCAGGGCAGGGATAGATTAAATAAAAGTCTGCTGGCCTGGGGCCCATTACAAAACCCAGAACATAAAAAAGTACTTCCCGATGAATACCTAGCACGGAGCAAGAGAGAGGGATCCTGACAGAAGAACCCAGGAAAAGGCTTGCCTGGAAGCACAGAAGCAGGAGGACTGAGGGAGGGCCTCTAACCCAGTCCAGTACCTGAGGGAGTCCGAGAAGGCCTCGACACCATACTTGGAGATGCAGTAGCCGCCACCAAGCAGAGACACCCGGCCCATGACGCTGGAGACGTTGACCTGGTTTCCTGGGGAAGACTGCACACTCATATGCTAAGGAGCGACGGAAAGAGGTGGTTAGTTTTAAACAAGAGGCGATGGTGCTGGGTGTGCACAGCTGCAGTCAGCAAAGCTTCTCTCAAAGGTTTTGCTCTAAGAAAGATTTTGACTCCTTCGTTCTTGTTTTTAGGTGGAGAAGGGGCAATGGGTGGGTGGAGGATGCCCTGACTCTCGAGAGTGGCCCCCGCTGAGACTCTGCAGGGCACCACGAGGGGGCACCCACTTCAACTCCATAACTCACGGGGCTCACAGGTGCTGTCCTGGGTCCTGGCCCAGCTGCTGCTACCCAGGGTGTGGGAGAGGATTTGAGCCTCTGGATATGCAGTGCGGGATCTCAGTGCAGAGACTGGTGTAGGGTCCCGTCACCCGGGCCCCTCTGAAGGATTATTGGTTCTGGCCCCTGCAACTCCCAGGTGAGGGAGCATCACCCCAGCTTCCTGTTCTCTGTCTGCTCTCTCCCAGACTTTCAGATCGTTCCCATCTGGAATGGCCTCAAACTCCTTCATGACCCTAACACCAGGCTTGCTATCCGTCTCAGGATTCACAAGAGCGACGCAGCAAGCGTGAGGGCTGACAGATGTTTCTGCTGCGAGCCCTCCCGGCAACTTACGGTGGAAGGAATTCGTGCTCACTGACAAAAATGTCCCAAGTTCCTTCCCAGAAACCATGACCTTATCCCTTAGGAGGGTTTGGTGTCCCGATAGGATTTGCGCGTCGCCGTGGCCCTCTAAGAATTTCCTGGGCCCTTTCCTTGCTCCTGGCCTGCTTCCTCCCCCAGCCTTCGGGAAGCCCTTGTCGGAGGGTGCAGTCACCCAGGAAGCAGGGACAGACTGGTTTTGGCAGGACCAGCCTCTGTCAGGCTGCTGCTGCCTCCCACCTTGAGGGACAGGCTCCTTCAGGACTGCAGTCAGCTCCCTGCATAGAAAGGTTACGACTGAAAGCGAATCTGAGGCCTTGTCTGTCTTTCTTGCCTGCTTGGGTGGGTCTGGTTTCATCTGAGCCTCTGGTTTCTGAGGGGCAGCCTTTCCTTCGTCCTCCCAGGGCCTCTCCTCTTTCCTACTTACCAGTCAGAGCTGTGACAAATGTGGACGGTGAGGGAGACGCCCAGAGCAGTGACACTGGCTCCTGTCCCTGCCCCACTCACCTACTCCCTTCGCCACGCTGTGCCACCCCCTTTTATGAAATGGTGTCCTCCACCTCAGCATGAAGCCTCTCCAGGGACAGCTGTTGTGGGTCCCGTATCTGGTCCTTTCTTTAGTCTCCTTAGGGGCAGCTCCCTCCTCCTCTCCATCATCCCCTGAGGCCAATGGAACTAATACCGGTCCAATTATTGGGGTTCACATCCCTGCCTGCTGGGTGAGGTTTATGTCACCATGTGCGTTGGTCCGTGTTCGAGTCAGTCTTTTCTGCCTTTGGAGTCTGTGTCTGAGTGGTCTGGGTTCCAGATGAGTGTCCAGGCAGGGGAGGGGCAGGAGGGGAGGGCAATGTAACTGGGGACCCAGAGGTCTTCTAGTGACAGGGCCTCACCACTGCATAAAGGAGGACTAACTGTTAGACCCACTTATGTCAGTCCCCCCGTTCAGCCCTCCCAGCATCTCGGAGAAGCCGCACAGCTGCACGTGTCCACCCCCACTGCCTCTTCTCCCCTTTCTTTGCCTCTGACCTCACACACCCCCTTTGCTCTCCTGAACGCCTTTCTGCAGAGAGAATTACTGTATCAGAAGGAGACCTAGTCCTTCAAGTCCTTTCCTTCTCCTTCTAACCCTAGAGAGGCTGACAGTGACTCAGATTTCTGAGGAGAGGGTGCTGTGTGCCGAGCCCTCTGAGGAAACCCAGGCCCTGAGAGGGTGCTGAATGTAAGTGTGTTGAATCCAGAGCGTCTTCCCACGAAGAACCTTCCTGAGGTCGGGAAGATCGAGCCCAGCGTGTTGGCAGACGAGGACAAAGAGTTCTGAGCCCTGAACCTAGAACAGAGTGGCCTGTGCCGCTCAGTGTGTGGCACCTGGACGCGGAGAGCAGATGGAATGAGAGGCCTGGGGCAGTGGGGCGGACAGTGATGCTTTCTTTCTGGGCAGGAGTTGGAATTTTCAAGGGCAAATGGTCAGCTCTTGCAAAAGTAGTCCAAAGGGCAGATAGGTAGGGAGAGAATAGAATGTTCCAGAAAGATAGTCATCAGGAGGGCAATTGGAGACTTCATGTCAGAGAGCCTGGAGGCCACACAGCCAGCACAGCCTCCTGATCGAGGATACCAGACTCTTCTGATCACAGCCTGTCTCTGTCTGTCCCCTGCAAAGCCATGTGGCTGTACCTGGCAGTGCTCGTGGGCCTGTACTACCTCCTGCGCTGGTACCGGGAGAGGCAGGTGGTGAGCAACCTCCAAGACAAGTACGTCTTCATCACGGGCTGTGACTCAGGCTTCGGGAACCAGTTGGCCAGGCAGCTGGACCTGCGAGGCTTGAGGGTGCTGGCTGCCTGTCTGACGGAGAAGGGGGCCGAGCAGCTGAGGGACCGGACGTCAGACAGGGTGCAGACGGTGATCCTGGATGTGACCAAGACAGAGAGCATCGCTGCAGCCACCCAGTGGGTGAAGGAGCGCGTGGGGGACAGAGGTAACACTCAGATTTGTCGGGTCTGTTTCTCTTCTGTCTGTGAAGGGAGACTTCTTGTCTGCTGCTGGGGAAGATTCCCTAGGTGTTTTCCAGGACTCGAGGTCATACTCCCTTTCTTTCCCTCACGCAGTTCACCAGCTGAGCCTCTTCTCTTTCCACTGCCCCCACCTCCCGTCCTTGGAGATCTGGAGGTTTGGGGAGAGCTGCCCTGATGAGATACCAGATTCCCTGTCTGAGGTGCCCCCTCCTGTCTCGGCAGAAGTTCTGCATTTCTTGACGCTGAGCGCCCCGGGGGAGATCAGAGCCCACTTTCTGGAGGACGAGTGGAGATGGGGCACCAACTCCGAGGCTTGTGTGGGTGGCTGGGGCAGCGCTGGAGGCGGGCTCCTGTTCTTAGCACTGTACCATGTTCTTGCTGGGGACCCATAATCCTCCCCCAAGGAGTCACTGTCACCCATTTCAGGTGAGCACACTGAGCTTTCCGGACTTGTTAAGGAAGGCTAATAATCCAGCGCAAGTTCACATTCTCTCTCTCTCTCTCTCTTTTTAAACTACCCTAGTGCCTGTCTTATTATGGGGGAAGAGAGGAACACTAATTTTTTTTATCTAAGTATAAATGTAAAACATGACCATTGTGGAAAATGCAGAAAAGCATGGGATCAAAACGAAAGTCACCCACATTCTACCAGCAGAGATGAGTCCTGGGACCCTTTTGACATAGACCGTATTACACTTAGGACAGAGTTTGTACCCTATTCTGTTCGTTGAAGGAAGATGAGCATTTTGCAATATAATGAAAATTTCTTTAAAAGCATATATTTAATGATTGAGCATATTCTATCCCTTTGAATAGCTTTACTTTTTAGAACAGTACCTCATGTATGATATGAAATTGTTTCCTGCGTTTTATTCACATTCGTGACTCGTGTCTCGGTGAACTTTCCCAAATCTCTCTGCGTAACCGTGCATGTTGACTGGGTTCTTAGAAGCAGCATGTGTGCTGGGAGAATGTGAGTCCTGGAAGGGCAGCCTGTTTCTGAGCAGGGAAGGGACTCAACTGTCTGGGTCCATCCTGTGCCCCCCACGGCCCCAGCTCCCTGAATCCCAGTTCCTGCTGCCCTGAGGGCTGTTGGTGGGTGGCTCTTCAGTGTCTGTGCTCAGAATCACATCTTTGAGTCCTGCAGAGAGGTTTCCACGAGGCTGGCTGAACTAGGGCCGAGGGGGAGGGGCGAGGGTGGCCTCCTGTGTGGGTGGGAGGAGAGGGGGCACTTCTGCTGCAGAGGGTGAAGTCTGTGCAGAGAGGGTGACGGGAGGGTCGAGATAGTCTCCCGCTCATAGACGAAGGATCCTACAGGATCCCCCAGATCCTATAGGACCTTTGCTCCCTATTGCTGCACGTGTTTCAAGGCGAATCCCTGAGGTCACCTCCTGCCTGTTCTCACCTTCCTCCGACCTGGGGTTTCAGGTCTGCGTTACCCAATCTACCTCTTCCCAGATAATAGCTATATTTTCTTCTTTTCGTCTGTTTTCTTTTCTCTCTTTTTTCCTTGCTCTCCTTTCCTCATTCTCTCTCTGTGTGTCTCTCCTTCACCATAGATATTTGTTGCACACTCACTAAAGACGCTGTCTAGGAATTCGGAAAACGTAGGTGAGCGTTTATAATGCCCGCAGGACAACAATGAAGTGTGAAAACCCAAAACATTACTGTGAGTGTTCCGGACTATGGACGCACGAGATTCCTCAACATCAGCTCGTGCCTTCATCAAATGTGGGGTGATTGCCCGTTATCAACCAAGCAGTGGCTGGGCCATGAAGACTAAATCTGGAGGAAGTCATATTTTCTGTCCTCCATGAGCTTACAGGGTCTGCCCTCCCCTAAACCCACCGGCAGTGTGTTGTTATCTGTTTTCCTCCCTCCCCATGCAACCTCTCTTTGAATGTCCTCACGTGACTGGAAGGTGCATTGCAACCACAGCTGTGTCCACACTCACGGGCACAATGCAGTGTTGCTCTCTTTCCCCCATTGTACCCAGGACTGTGGGGCCTGGTGAATAACGCTGGTGTCTTCATGCCCTCGGCACCCAATGAGTGGCTGACCAAACAGGACTTCGTGAAGATCATCGACGTGAACCTGCTGGGGTTGATTGAGGTGACTCTGAGCCTGCTGCCCCTAGTGAGGAAGGCGAGAGGCCGTGTGGTCAACGTCTCCAGTGCCGCGGGCCGGTTGGCCATTTGTGGTGGGGGCTACTGCATCTCCAAGTATGGCGTCGAGGCCTTCTCGGACTCCCTCAGGTACTGGACTGGGTTAGAGGCCCTCCCTCAGTCCTCCTGCTTCTGTGCTTCCAGCAACACCTTTTCAGTCTCTTTCTTCCAGATCCCTCTCTCTTGCTTTGTGCAAGGCCTTCATTGGGAAGCACTTTTTTGTGTCCCGGGTGTGGGAGAGCATCCCAGTCTTTAGAGTTTTATTCAAACTATTTCTACCTAGATGAGGGCCCACAATTGGAAAGTGTCTGCGGCACAATTGGCACTTCCATAGTATGGCTGCAGAGGCCATGTCCATAACCCCTGTGGCACTGAGCTTCGGGGAGTCCTTGCAGAGGGGCTAGAGTGTTTGAGTTTATTCAACAGATACTTCGTGGCGATTTTGTGAGTACACAATAAATGCGTCCGAGGACAAGATTTAATCCCTGACCTGAAACATCTGACAGCTGAGACAGGGACGAGAGATATAGAAATGTTGTGGCCATCTCTCACAGAGCTTGGAATCAAGTCAGCCATGGTGGCCGTGATGCCAGAGGAGTGAAGGGAGGGTACTGGATAGGGGTCTGAGCTGAGGATGAAGAACTGAACTTGGTAACCTGGAAACCTGAGAAATAGGGTGGGAAGTCTTCCTGGACGAGGGAATGACGTCAGCCAAGCCCAGGGTTTGTAATGGTTGAGCGCCTATGCTGCAGAGTTCTCCAGATGTGAAGGACAAGGCCTGGACTGGCAGGAGAGGCGCTAGGCGGGTGGGCACAGGTGGGCTCGTGGAGGCACATGGGCCCTGGACAGGCTGTGGACCTTCATGCTGTTGGCAGTGGAACCCCATGGAAGGGATTTCATCAGGGGAGCTACTTTGTGAAATCAGCATCTAGAGAACCCATTGGCTGCAGGGCAGAGGATGGCTTTGAATGTAGGGGAGCTGGGACTGCAGGCAGAGAGAGGCTCCGTAGGGGACAGATGGCCAGGCAGTTGACTAGAGCAGCAGAGAGGAGAGAGAGGATTGAGGAGGGTGGAAGAAGTAAGATGGGCAAAGTCTGGAGATGGATTGGGTGTGAGGGGACACAAGAGAAGAGAGCACTTATCGGGTGCCTTGTAGTAGAATAGGTAGGAGTTAGGGCTGATGAGTAACCTGCACCACATGCTTGTGAAATATGTGGAAAAATGTACAAACCTTATACAGAGACTATGCCATTGTCATAAGTTTTCTCCCCCTGGCTGTTGCACTTTGAAACTTTCTAAGCTTTTGAGATGTGTCGCCCCAATCCTGTGTTGAGGTTGCATCATTCTGTTTGCTTTTTGTTTGCCGTGTTTTGTCTCCCAAGGCCTCTGAAGTCCTTGCCCCTCTTCCTGTCTGCCTTGCAGGAGGGAGCTCTCCTACTTTGGGGTGAAGGTGGCTATTATCGAGCCTGGTTACTTCAAGACCAACATGACCAGGCATGAGAATTTTTCTCAGGGCTACCAGGAGGCCTGGGAGCGGGCCCGTCCAGAGATCAAGGAGATCTACGGGGAGAAGATCCTGGCATCCCGTGAGTGAGCTGTGGACCATGGGGAGAGAAGCAAACCATTGTCTGGAAGCCTGGGTGCATCGTTAGTGCCTCCTCAGGTCTTGGGTCCCTGCTCCAGGCCTGACTCACCCACGAAGTGGGAACATTTCCTTCCAGCCGTGGTCTTGAGTGATTAACTGGTAACTTAAGGAAAGGATCCAGACTTGCGAGACTTGGAGACTATTGTCTCATCTGAACCCCTCATAATGAGGAGGAAACTTAAGCTAGAGAGGGAAGACACCCCTGGACCCATGGAAAGCTGGCATTTGAGCTTTTGGTTTCCAGGTGCCTATTTTTCCAATGTTTGTAGAGACTTCCAGCTTATGCGGTGCACACACAGCCACGAGTTCCTTAACAGCAGGACAGTTGCAGAGAAGTGTGTCATCAGCTCATTTTGTTGTTGTGTGAGTATTGTAGTGTGTACTCACACAAACAAAGAGGGTATATAGCCTGCTACGCACATAGGCAGTGCGGTACTAATCTTACGGTACTGTTGTAATGTGGTTCGTGGGTTGAACAGAACATCTTTTTGCAGTGCATCGCTGTATTTGCAGGGATAGAGTCAGAGGGGGCTTAGTGTGGACAGTGTTCCTGGGGTAAGAATTGGGACACACTCCAATGACATCCATGGATTCCATGTGAAGCATGATTTTGGGGGGCCCATGAGCTTTTAGAAACTTTTCTCTTAAGTTGATCGGAAAGTGGGACAATGGGGAGTGAGGATATATTTGGATGGTGTCTCGTTCTTGACAGTTATTAAATCACCTGAAATATTCAAGCCAAGCTACTGGGAGAATGTGTCCTTGGTCACAGACTGCATGGAACATGCCCTGACTTCCTGCCACCCCCGTACCCGATACTCACCTGGCTGGGATACCAAGCTCATCTACCTCCCCATGAGCTACATGCCCTCTATCCTGGTGGACGCCATCTTCTACTGGAGCTACCCAAAGCCCGCCAAGGGCCTGTAGCCAAGCCTGGGGTGCACGGTAGGGTGGAGTAGGGTACTGTGGGAGGGAGGGATGCATCAGGGGGAGGGAAATAGAGTGGAGAGAGGGGTTCTCATGTCACCAGGGAAAACAATCTCACCTCTCCCCTCACTTCTGGGACATTACGCAGCACTCTGGGGATATCTGGAGGAAAGAACCAAGTTTTGCGGCTGAGCAACAGGGCGTCGTGGCACACATCCATGCCCTGAGCCTTAAGTGACCTCTCAAGGCTTGGAGTCTCATGGCCCTTCTGCCACCCGAGGAATCCACACTTTTGGGAGGGTGTGAGCAGCTGCACTCAGCCCCAGCTGAGCCTGCTCTGCCTCTGTCCTCCTCAGTTGTACCTTGGCCCTGGCCAGTCTCCCCTCCCACAGGATGGAAAGGCCTGGTGAAGGAGAAGAGCCCTCTCCACTGAAGACATCTGTGGACAGAGGTGGAGGTGTGGAGGGAGACCAACAGCCTGACCCCTCAGCCTCAGGTCCAAGTCAGCAGACCTCGCTGGAAGGTGGTGTGCTCAATAGGGTTACTGACAGAGGACACAGAAATCAACTTTTGATTTGTCTTGAAAGCATGGATTTCCATTCCTTATTTTTGCCTCAAAATAAAACTTGAAAAGTTTACCCTGGCCCAGTGATTGGAAGCGTGACCTTGGGGAGTGGTGGGGTGTGGGTCTGTGAGAGGAAGAGTGAGGTGATTTCACAAGGTCAAGGGATGAGTGGGATGAGCTGAGGAGGCATTGGACAGAGAAGTTAGGTCACTCCCTCCCTTCCACACAACTAGTGGCTGATGTTTTCCTCCAAGGATTTATCAGGTAATGTGGGATCACAGGATTAGACACCAGGATGGACGAAAAAGGAGAGGTGGCTAAGTGACTGGTAGGGCCCAACCCTTCCTTGGGGACATCCAGCCTCTCCCTTCACCAGCAAACTCTCTCTATCTGTGCCCTCCTTTAAAGTCCTCGCTCTGCACCCTCTGCCATCCCCAGATTCCTCCGCCCAGATCCCCTCCCTTCTGGACCGCAGTCTCTCACTTTCTACCAAGCTTTGTTGAGAACCTACTGTGTGCTGGGCACGATTCCCCTAATTACCCAGTGCTTCCCGAGGGCCCGCCTCTCTCCGTCTCCACTGTTCTGCTGATGTTCTGAGAATGGACTCCACAGAGAAGGCATTTGCAGAAAGTGATAGAGATTTCTGTGCTGAGTACAAATTGGCGTTGGCAGGTCCCTTCTGGTGTCTTCGTTTCCCTCTCGTAGTTTAAAGTTGAGGACATTGGGCCTTTCTGGAACCTGATGTAGAACAATGTCAGCATTCTTCATAAAAACACCACGTGGGGTAGGATATTGCACGGCCCTACATTCTGAAATGTATGTTGAGTGCTTGGTGTCAGACAAGGGACTGCTGAAGACACAGAGATGATTGAGTGGATCCTCAAGGATCTGCAAGTCCTTCAAAGCTCTGCTGTCAGTCCACTCAAGGTCAGTCCATGTCCCCCACACCAATGCAAAGCAAGAGCATCATGCTGGATCTGAAGTCTCCAGGTTTTCACAATACTATTTATACACACACAGTCAGACACTCCAACAAACTGAAATCAAGTAAAGGATGGCTGATTCACTTTATAATCTCGAGGGCATGTGTTCAGGAGGTTTGGACTCACCCCCAGGAGTCTTCTCCAGAGTGTCAGAGAACTGTGAGGTTACAAAGCCCTGGCCCTCCATACTGGGCTCCACGTGGTGAGCAGTTCTGCACCATCATTGGTTCCATGGCCCCAAACTTGGAGTGGGAGTCAAGGGTGCCATCTTAGACAGGCTGGAAAAACAATGGCCTTGAAAAGAAGTCCAAAGCAAAGAAGTCCAAGTCCTCACCCTCTTCCCTCCACAGAGCCCCATCCTCCTCCTTCTCGGCTTCTTTCCCTGGGGAGGGAGGCAGGTCCAGTCTGACGGAGCTGTGCAGGGCCTGGCACCCATACCATCAGAGTTAATGGGGGTGCCCCAAGGAAGCTGCCCTCATTTCTTCTTCCCTTTGCTCTCCGGGCCTCTTTTGAGGAGCACAGAGTCAGTGACTTCCCTCCTGTGCCTCTGGTGCCCTTCAATTTTCAGATCTTCAGCACGGGAAGGCGGGGATGTGTCTACATTTTCAGACCCGCGCTCCAGGTGGTGGGGGCGGAATACCTGTACGGCTGTAAAGAAGTTTGCACAGTTAGGTCTCATTCCCTGCCCTGTCCAAGCTCCCTTTTTCCTCTACCTACGCCAGTCCCTCTTCTGAAGACCCTCACTGGCTGAAGAAGGGAATGGGTTGGTGAAGGATGCCCTGACATTTGACTGCGGTCAGGTGAGACTCTGCAGGGCGCCACCAGGTGGCGCACGACTCCGTTCCAGCACGCATCTGGCTCACAGGTGCTGTCTTGTGTCCGGGCCCCGCTGCCCGGCCCCTGGACGCGGGAGGAGATTTTAGCGTCGAGAACTCCTGAGGAGGATCTCAGTGCAGAGATGGGTGGCAGTGGGTCTCCATCCTGGGGGCGCCTGCGAAGGATGTCTCTTTATGGCCCCTGCAACTCCCGGGTGAGTGAGCCTCTGACCAGGTTCCAGTTCTCTCTCTGCTCTCTCCCGAACTTCCTGATTGTTCCCATCTGGAATGGCCTCAAACTCTTTCATGATCCTACCGCCAAGGGTCCTATCACCTTCAGGATTCACAAGAGTGACGCAGGAGGCAAGAGGGCTGACGGCTGCCTCTGCTGCATGGCCTCTTGGGAACTTATGGTTGAAGGAATTTCTGGTCACTGACAAAAAGTCTTCCTTCCCATGGTTCCTTCCCAGAAACCATGACCTTACCCCTTCGCAGGGTTTGGTATCTGGTTAGGATTTGCGTGTTGCCTTGGCCCCCTGAGAGTTTCCAGGGCTCATTCCTTCCTCCGGGCCTGCTTCCTCCCCCAGGCTTCGGGAAGCCCTGTCAGAGGGTGGTGGCAGTCACCGAGGAAGCAGGGACAGGCTGTTTTTGGCAGGACCAGCCTCTGTCAGGCTGCTGCTGCCTGCCACCTTGAGGGACAGGCTCCTTCAGGCCTACAGGTGGATCCCTGCATAGAAAGGTTACATCTGAAGGCGAATCTGCCCCCTTGTCTGTCTTTCTTGCCTGCTTGGGTGGGTCCGGGGCCAATTGAACCTCTGGTTTCTGAGGGGCAGCGTCTCCTTTGCCCTCACAGGGCCTCTCCTTTTTCCTACTTACCAGTCAGAGCTGTGACAAATGTGGACGGTGAGGGAGACGCCCAGAGCAGTGACACTGGCTCCCGTCCCGGCCCCACTCACCAACTCCGTTCCCCACGCTGTGCCACCCCCTTTTATGAAATGGTGTCCTCGACCTCAGCACGAAGCCCCTCCAGGGACAGCTGTTGTGAACCCCATTTCTAGTCCTTTCTTTAGTCTCCTGAGGGGGCAGCTCCCTCCTCCTCTCCATCATCCCCCTGAGGCCAATGGAACTAATACCGGTCCAATTATTGGGGTTCACATCCCTGCCTGCTGGGTGAGGTTTATGTCACCGTGTGCATTGGTCCGTGTTCGAGTCAGTCTTTTCTGCCTTTGGAGTCTGTGTCTGAGTGGTCTGGGTTCCAGATGAGTGTCCAGGCAGGGGAGGGGCAGGAGGGGAGGGCAATGTAACTGGGGACCCAGAGGTCTTCTAGTGACAGGGCCTCACCACTGCATAAAGGAGGGCTAACTGTTAGACCCACTTATGTCAGTCCCCCCGTTCAGCCCTCCCAGCATCTCGGAGAAGCCGCACAGCTGCGCGTGTCCACCCCCACTGCCTCTTCTCCCCTTTCTTTGCCTCTGACCTCACACACCCCCTTTGCTCTCCTGAACGCCTTTCTGCAGAGAGAATTACTGTATCAGAAGGAGACCTAGTCCTTCAAGTCCTTTCCTTCTCCTTCTAACCCTAGAGAGGCTGACAGTGACTCAGATTTCTGAGGAGAGGGTGCTGTGTGCCGAGCCCTCTGAGGAAACCCACTGAACGCCTTTCTGCAGAGAGAATTACTGTATCAGAAGGAGACCTAGTCCTTCAAGTCCTTTCCTTCTCCTTCTAACCCTAGAGAGGCTGACAGTGACTCAGATTTCTGAGGAGAGGGTGCTGTGTGCCGAGCCCTCTGAGGAAACCCAGGCCCTGAGAGGGTGCTGAATGTAAGTGTGTTGAATCCAGAGCGTCTTCCCACGAAGAACCTTCCTGAGGTCGGGAAGATCGAGCCCAGCGTGTTGGCAGACGAGGACAAAGAGTTCTGAGCCCTGAACCTAGAACAGAGTGGCCTGTGCCGCTCAGTGTGTGGCACCTGGACGCGGAGAGCAGATGGAATGAGAGGCCTGGGGCAGTGGGGCGGACAGTGATGCTTTCTTTCTGGGCAGGAGTTGGAATTTTCAAGGGCAAATGGTCAGCTCTTGCAAAAGTAGTCCAAAGGGCAGATAGGTAGGGAGAGAATAGAATGTTCCAGAAAGATAGTCATCAGGAGGGCAATTGGAGACTTCATGTCAGAGAGCCTGGAGGCCACACAGCCAGCACAGCCTCCTGATCGAGGATACCAGACTCTTCTGATCACAGCCTGTCTCTGTCTGTCCCCTGCAAAGCCATGTGGCTGTACCTGGCAGTGCTCGTGGGCCTGTACTACCTCCTGCGCTGGTACCGGGAGAGGCAGGTGGTGAGCAACCTCCAAGACAAGTACGTCTTCATCACGGGCTGTGACTCAGGCTTCGGGAACCAGTTGGCCAGGCAGCTGGACCTGCGAGGCTTGAGGGTGCTGGCGCGTGTCTGACGGAGAAGGGGGCCGAGCAGCTGAGGGACCGGACGTCAGACAGGGTGCAGACGGTGATCCTGGATGTGACCAAGACAGAGAGCATCGCTGCAGCCACCCAGTGGGTAAAGGAGCGCGTGGGGGACAGAGGTAACACCCAGATTTGTCGGGTCTGTTTCTCTTCTGTCTGTGAAGGGAGACTTCTTGTCTGCTGCTGGGAAAGATCCCTAGGTGTTTTCCAGGACTCGAGGTCATACTCCCTTTCTTTCCCTCACGCAGTTCACCAGTCGAGCCTCTTCTCTTTCCACTGCCCCCTCCTCCCGTCCTCGGAGCTCTGGAGGTTTGGGGAGAGCTGCCCTGATGAGATACCAGATTCCCTGTCTGAGGTGCCCCCTCCTGTCTCGGCAGAAGTTCTGCATTTCTTGATGCTGAGCGCCCCGGGGGAGATCAGAGCCCACTTTCTGGAGGACGAGTGGAGATGGGGCACTGACCCCCAGGCTTGTGTGGGCGGCTGGGGCAGCGCTGGAGCCGGGCTCCTGTTCTCAGCACTGTACCATGTTCTTGCTGGGGACCCATAATCCTCCCCCAGGGAGTCACCGTCACACACATATCAGATGATGACATTGAGCTTTCAGGACTTGCTAAGGAAGGTCAAGAATCCAGTGCAAGTTCACATGCTCTCTCTCTATTTTTAAAACTACAATTGTGCCTGTCGTGTTATGCTGGAGGAAAAGAACATTAGTTTCTTTTTTCTAAGTATAAGTGTAAAACATGAGCATTGTGGAAGACACAGTAAAGTACAGGATCAAAATGAAACTCACCCGCAGTCTACCAGCAGAGACAAGTCCTGGGA